AAAAAAAAAAGAGACCATAGGGAGGTGAAACATCACAACAGCCAAACAAGAAACATTATTGAGGGTCAGCAAAAGAGATGGATGGCGTGGGGGGGGGGAGAGAGAGAGCCTCCGTGGTCCACAAAGTTGAGGAAGACGCGGTCCAGCTTGGTAGACTGCAGCACCTTGCCGCCGTCGAGGCCGGCGGCGTCGCCCGTCAGCACCTTGACAAAGGTCTCCGGCGTGACCATCGACCCGGAGTAGTCGATCTTGCAGCCGGCGTAGACGTCGGTGCCGGGCGTCCCATCCCCCGTCGGCTTGTTGAAGAGCTTGCCGGGGAAGGGGTTCATGTCGTCGTTTGCGACGTCGTCGACCGCGAGGGTGATGATCTTGTCCGGGTCGATCCCGTTCTGGGCACGCGAGCGCGCACAGTCGGGCGGGCGAGGGACGGCTGGGAGATGCGCGGGACGGGCGGCGCCTTGATCATAATCTGGTAGGCGTGGCACACGTCAGCCTGGTGGCGGTAGTTGCCGTAGCCGGACGAACCGGCGATGAGCACCGCCCAGTGGGACGCCTTGGCGGCCTCCTCCACCTCCTTGGGCGGCGTCCAAGCGCCGACCGCGTTGATGAGCGCGGCGCCAGCGAAGAGGGTGCGGTAGAGCATGTCGAGCTGTGCGAGAGGGGCGGGAGAGAGGCTCGATGGTGGAGGAGGTGGGCTGGGCGGGCGTGTGGACCGTGCGATGCGTAGGCATGTCAATGGTTGCAAACAGGCTGCGACCTACTTCAGCGGCTGGCCCGGCCAGAGTGCGCCTCACTTGCCAGGAAGTTAGCGGAGGGTCCCCCGCCCCCCTCGGGTAGGGGGGGGGGGATTCCGACCCTCCTGTGCGGAGTAACCCGCGCACGGGGAAGCTTCACGGGTTCGAGTCGTCAAACATTAAGCAGCGGAGGTATGCCGAGGGGTCAAGCTGCCGAGCCCAAATCACTGCTTGTGTCATAACGGGGGCCCAGCCCCTTGTCCGAATCCGATGAGTTTTCCGACCCCTCATCTTTAGTTAACGACGCCTCCCTGCCCACCACCTCCCTGCCCCACCACCTCCCTGCCCCACCACCTCCCTGCCCCACCACCTCCCTGCCCCACTGCCTCCCTGCCCCACCACCTCCCTGCCCCACCACCTCCACCGCCTGTGAGTGCTTGCTTTCTCACACCACCCCTGCCCCCCCCCCTCGCAAAAGAAAAAACGCAGGCAAGCCGATCGCGTAAACGGCGTCGAAAAGAAGCCCACTTGCGCGACAATCGCCGAGATTTGACCGCCGTCAACCAGGATCGCCCATCTTCCAGGCTGGAGCATAATGCTGAGCCTCAACGTCGTCGCGCCCTTGGTGTTCTCCTCCGATCCCAGCCCTCCGCCTGCGCGCATCACGCCAGACAACGTGCCAGAGTGGATGGAGGGCACGTGGCGGTTCCAAGCAGGTCCCTGCGTGACGCACTATAGCATGCTTTCGAACACCAACGTGCACCTCACAAGGCTTGCGGAGGGCGCGAAGGAGTCGGACACGTGTTCCTCATTCAACGGCGATCGGCCTGCACTCATCTCGTGCGTGGCAAAAGATGGCAAGATGCATACGACGAGCGTGGAGAGCTATGTCACCGACGAACTTGCTGCGGAGTTCTGGTGCTCCGCACTTCTGCACTGCTGCTAGCTGAACTGGAATTCATGCACCCTATAGCCCGCGCCGAGTCCGTCTGTGAATCGCCATAACACTTGACCACTTTCCGTGCATTTGGTAGGTGCGTGTACACAGCCAAGCCGATCGGCGGCACAACAATGGAGGTGCGCTCCTTCAAGATCGCAAGTGCCGCTGAGGGGGCGACGGCGGAAAGTGCTGCTGAGCGTTGCCCGTCCTACGTCTCAGCGACTGAGGAAGAGAAACAAAAATTCGATGCGTCTGTGATCTTCCAAGACTGCTTGGACGAGTGTGGCGCAGACACGTGCACGCTGGTCGACTAATTCTGATGGGAAGATCGCGCGCGTACCCGGGGTCATCCTCTGAGCCTGGTCGTCGGCGCCGCGATGCCACGGCGGCGCATTCGACGTCGTCGGCGCGCTGCCCCGCGTTGAGCCCCGCCGCACGTGGCGACGGCCGCAGGTCGGCCCGGTGCAGCGCGCCCTGGCGGCAGACTGAAGAACGGCCACGAGGGGTGTGTGATGTGCGGTGCGGGGTGTGAGGGGGCAGCGTCTTTGTGTGTGCGCGCGCGCGCCGCTGCCGGGGCCCTCGTGGTACGCCTCGCCCGGCCCCCTCCGAGGGGGTCGTGTCGGGGATTGAACTGAGGGATGGGGCGGGGATCCTCCCTCTTCCCGCCATCGATGCCGGGGCTCAACCAATCCGGAGAGGTCTTTACCATTCCTCCATACATCCTCCCGGCTTCATCGGCGCAAATCCAAATTGCGAAACGGGTCGCGCCGTCGCGGATCACCGACACCGTACAAAATAAAAACACACCGGCCGCTAGCTCACTGCACACTGGGGAGTGCGAGTAGGGGGGTTGTGGGGAGACGTCCGACGGGGGAGACAGAGAGATCCGATCGTGCACCCGATCCGCGATCCGATCGACAGTCTGATTACTGACAGTCAGCGGTCCCACCCCGCGTTGGTTTCTCGCATCTCGGCCATCGGCCACATTACTGACAGTACCGTAACGGGCGTAATACCGTATCCATTATTATCCGGTGAGATACAGTTTATATTGGACAGATTCAAACTACTATCTACTGTACTTGTTCGTTTCTCAAAACGACCGCGTCCACACTGCTCGGAGAGCGCTTTCGTTGTTAAGCAGCGCGCAAGGAACCTCATCTGCACCCGCACTTAGAAGGTCCGCGTGAGCTGCAAATGCCTCAGGCCCGCCTTCAAGCCGGCCGCAGTTCAACAAGGACAGCTCGTCCGAGCAAGGACAGCTCAAGCTCGCCCAGCCTGCCCTAAGGTGGTGTACGCCCCCCAGCCCACATGCGCATGCCCTCACCACGTCGGCCTTTCGTCCCAGCGGGTCCTTGGCATGGCGAAGATCGACCATCTCGAAGCGGTTGTTTGCCATCGGCTTACGACGATCGTCACTTATGGGCAGCTGCAAGCTGTCGAAGCCCAGCGCTCGCAGGCGGCCAACCCGCATGGTTTCGAACCACCAACGCTCACCACGCCCTGGCGTCGTCTCGACAAAGGTCTTCCCAGTGTTCCACCATAGCCCGCTTCCACGCGCCTCCCAGTACCACACACCGTGCAGCTCAAACTGCTTCGGTGAGACGACGCGCATCACCTCCACCCACGTGTCATTTGAAAAGCCTCGCTTCGCAGTTGCGGCCGGAATGTCGGTGCGTCCGCCGGGCACAAATTGCTGCACGAAAAAGCCCGCGGCGTACAGCGATGGGTGCGATTCTGGGAACGGCGCAGCGCAGCCGGCAGGCCCAAGCCACGCATGCCCCGTCGCGGGCGAGCAGTAGGGCGTAAGCTGCGCTGGCTTCACGCGGATTGGTAGCCGCGAGCGCCAAAACCAGGAGAACTTGCCCAACTCGATGGGATACAACTGTGCCCGCTGGTAGACGCCATCAAGATACCAGTCCCACTGTGGGAACTCGCCGCGGCGTGACAGTGCAAACGGAATCCGATTCACGACCAGGCTGCCGTTCGGGACGTCACATTTGCGCACGCAGGCATTGCGCCTCGGCCAGGCCCTGTCGTGGTGACCAGCCGAGGCAGGACGCTCGTTGCCTGTGGATGCCAGCACATTCCTCGGGCCGTTCCAAGACCGCGCTTGCCATCGAGTAAGGCTCGGGGGGGGGTCGGCCATGACTTTAGATGTGCAGGGGGGGTACCCCGAGCAACTTAGGGGACCCCTAGGGTTCTGAGGGCCGGATTTTTTTAAGACCTTTTAAGAGACGAGGAGGTTTGGGGGCTTAACTTGCCATTTAAGAGATTGCAGGCACGGGGGATCCCTCTTTTAAGACCGTTTAAGAAAATCGGCCTCGCCGGCATGCGTCGCTGGGTTCCGCGCCGTTTTCTCTAATGCTGCCGTTATTAGGCACAAACCCGCCTCTGAAGACACATCTGTAGGTCTGGTGCACTGGCAGGAGCCATACTCGCATAGGGGGCGCGTGCTAGCTGACTGTAGCCAGCTTCCCGGCCTCCGGCGTCTACCGGGAGCCTCCCGGACCATCGACCTCGGGAGCTCTCCCGCACCGTTTAAGCGTTTAAGACCGTTTAAGGAATCGGCGGCCCAGGCAGCCTTAAAATGGGCCATGGCCCGCTTTAAGCCGTTTAAGCCGCAGGCGCCCCAGGGCCCACCCTTTTAAGCCTAGGGGTCCCCTAAGCCGAGCACAATGTCGTGCGGCCGCTCTTGCGTCTTGGCAGAAGCGAGAGCGCAGTGTCCAGTGTTGCGGGGTTTTGCACAAGGCACAAGCATCTCCACGTCGTCTCCACAACTTTCTCAAACAGCATTTCTATCGCAGCCATTCGTGACTCGAACACACTCACTCACTCTACCGACGTGATCATAGTACCACAAGGGCGTAATACCGCTGAGCAAGATAGTGTGGCTTGCGCGTGGCCCTTGTGTCGCGCTCCCAAAGCGATTAACCAAACAGGTTGTTGAAAAAGTTCTTGATTTTATGGCCGAAGCCCTGAGGAGCCGGCGTCTTGACCGGTGCCGCAAGGGGCGCTGCTTCTGCCACGGGGCATCCGAGCTTCTCATTGTCGCAGCACCAGGCGGTCTTCTCGTCGCTCCACAGTTCGCGGGTCATGCAGTTGAAGGGCGCGGGCGCCTCGGGGTTGAGTTGAATGGGCAACTCAAGCATTGGCAACTCGGCGGCGGGCAACTCGAGCGGGCAGTCCATCTCGCAATTCGACTCGGTGGAGTAGAACTTCTGCTCACCGGCGCACCTGTGAGAGGGTGGAGCATCTCTCGACACGCAAATAGCTGGCTGCTCCACTCGTGACTGAGAGGCGCCCCCTTAATACCCATCCGTGAGGCATTCTGGAGGGGGTGGTCACTCGTAAGGCGCCCATGTTGAGCAGTCGGCACCAGCCATCGCTTCAAGCCCGAGCTCACGGGCAGGCAGTCGGGACAGAAGCGCGAGGACACACACGCCACCTGCAGCAGCGAGCAGTGTGCACCGGCGGCGCGTCGTGAGCCGCTCAGCGATGGGGTCGCCCGACTCGAGGTCGGTTGTCCGCATCATCGGCATGCGCTGCTGTGTGGCGGTGTCGCGCCCGACACGCAATCACGCAGATTTTACCAAAGTGTCAGTCCGACGAAATCGAAAATCGAAAAAAATGGATCCAGCTGGTGCGAGGTGCGTGCTGGCACGAACACAGGCAACACAGAATGGCCGCCGGGGGGGCTCCTGGGCCCTGGCGGCGCATTTTTTGAAATATCTGACACTCCACGCGCCTAAACAAAAACCGACTCTCGCGCCTATAGGGTGTGGATGCTGGGTTGAACGAAATCGGGGGACGCGACCCACCTCGCCACAGACGGTCCCGCGCCTCGCCGCTATGACGGGCACACGCCCCGCACCGTCCGCTGTGTGCCCGTCTTTGTCCGGAGTGAAAAGTCCAACGCGCTCGTCGGTGGCGGCTTCCCCCAACCTGCGCCGCGCTCGGCGAACCTCGACAGCGCTTTCGGTGGCATGCAGCTCTTTGCGACAGAAGCCTGGAGAGCAGCTCCTCTGCTGCTCACACACTCTGCACAGTTGACACAGCCTACTGTGCGGCTGCCACAGCTGTGACAGCGATGGGCTCGCCCTCACTGGCCCTCAGTCACTTGTGCTGCGGCTTGTGTGAGCGACACTGCTCGGCGACTGCCGGCACACTGTGAGACCATGGGTGTGAGGTCAAATCACGCTACCAGCGCTTGGTCACATCGGCCCCGAGGTCAGATCCATCTACTCTGTTGATGACAAGACTTGTCTACCGGCTGGAGCCGAGCAGGAGGGCCCGGCGCACAACCCCCTGGTCAACTCACCCTCCACACCCCGTAAGTGCTAAGAGAAACACTCCTGCCCTGCGGCTGCGCATTTTTTTGCCGGCGAATGAAAATCGCAGAGCTGTATCGAGATCACATCGAGATCACTCGAGATCACCGGCGCACAAGGTAAATGGCCTCAGGCCCTCAGAGGTAGAGGTAATCTAGACACCTCCTACCCGGCGCTCCGGGCCGAACCTGCCTCAGGGGCGGGCGCGGGCCGCCGGGGCCAAGAGCAAAACCACGTGCTCCGGCAGATGCGCCTGCACACGCATCACGCCGTGGCGGCGACTCGTACGCTCTCTCGGCTCACAGGTCTCCCCCCTGACTCTAAGCTATGCCACGCGTGAGCGTGAGCGGGCCGCCTCACTGTCTCCTAGCTGCTATGTGGGTGTCACTCCGCCTTGGACACATCGCAGGCGATGTTGTAGCCGCGCCTAAGCTCCTCCGAGTACGTCTCGCACAGCCCCTGCTCCCACACGCCCACCAGCGACAACCCCACGCGCGCCGCGGTGTCGGCGACCTCGACCGCCTTCTCCTTCTCCAGCGGGATAACATCCAGCAGCGCGTTGGCCATGTGCACCGCGTCGCCAGAGCGGAAGAGGGTGAGCCGGTACATGGGCGGCTCGTCGTTCGACGGTCTTTTCAAGTCGGCGAGCGAGAACGTGTCGGGCACGGTCCAGGAGGAAGGGAGCGAGTCAGGAATCGTCGACTCCCGCTCCGGAGCGATGGTTTGCATCGCCGGCGTGGCGGCGCGAGCTGGCCGCACGACGCCGAGCCCAGAGACGCTGAAGGCGTCGACGGTCGTCGAGACGAGCAGGAGGGAGAGGGCGGCGCGCATCGTTGTCGGCTCTGGCGCGTGTCCACAAAGCTCGAAGGCCTTCTCACACCCAAAAAGAATTTCATTCACGAATGAATTCTGCTCCTCGGACTGCGGGCGGCTTCTCTCGAGGTCTCGAGATCCACAAAGCGGCCACGAAATGCTCTCGCTGCTACCAGCGGCCCTCTCGTCGCGTCTTGCTCCCGCCGCGTCGCGTCTCGCACCCGCTGCGCGTTCGATGGTCGTGGCGTCCGCGCCGCCGCCGCCTCTCCTGCCGCCTCACCTGGAGGACCTGCGCGAGGAGCTGGAGAGTGGCGAGGCGCAGCTCTTTGACGTGCGCGAGCCGGGCGAGGCGGCCATGGGAATGCTGCGCTCCGCAGACCTCGTCCCGCTGAGCGCGCTCGAGCGCGGCCTCCAGAAGGCGCAGATCGTCGAGCGCTACCCGCAGGTCGACCCGGCTCGGCTCACCTATGTGCACTGCGCTGCTGGCATCCGAGTGCATCCAGCGACAGCCCTGCTGCAGCAGGCGGGCTTTGAGCGGGTGGTGCCGCTGCAGGAGGGCTACGCGGCGCTGCTCCAGTACGGCTTCGAGCCCAAGGAGGAGGAGTGAGCACTCGCTGCCGCGTCTATGCTTTTCCGCGCGCGTGCAGCGCGGAGAGACAGAGAGAGCTTGACTGTGCGAGAGTTTGTGTCTGCAGTGTCGTTGTGCCGACATGCCGTTAATAATCAACCAGTCAACAGAGCCAACAGACCGCGGGGCGAATAAATCAACACGACAACACAATTGTCGGTACGTCGGTGGCGAGTCCGGTGAAGGTGCGCTGCGGCGGGTGTGCCTGTGCGGGCCTGCCGACGGCGACGCGCGGGCGCTGCAGCTGTGTCAGCTGTCGGGCGTGTCGCCGAGCCGCTGCGGGAGCTGCCCGCTGGGGATTCGGCGAGAACCGCAGTTCGCGAGGGCAGAGAGGGAAGCAGAGAGCGGGGAGAGAGAAGGAGAGAGAGCCGGCCGAAGAGTCCATGTGCGTGCGCGTGCCATGCTGCTTCCTGGCGTGCCGCGCTTACTGGTCGGTCTGCGTGCGCTGTTGCCTGTTGGTGCGGCGGAGCGGCGCTTACTGGTCGGTCTGCGTGCGCCGTCCCGTCGACGTGAGCAGCGACGCGATCGTCGACAGCCCCCGCGCAACCGCCGGCCGGGTGCTGTCGCGGCCGCCCCGTGCGGCGGCGGGCGAGGGAGAGCCCGCCTAGTCGCGATGCGGGGAGATATGGGCGGGGCGGCCTCCTGCGTGTGGGGTGCCTGGTCGCCCGCCCTCTCCACCTGCTGCGCCCTTGCCGGCACGCCGGCGCGCGGCTTCGCTTCGCCGGGAGCAGTCAACGAGGGGAGCGGCCCGCGCGCGGCCTCGCGGCCGTTCCTCGCCTGCTGTCCTCGCGGCGTGCGGTGCGTGTCCACCTCGCGCAGCTCGCCCTTGGAGGCGAGCTGGAGCCGCGCCTGTAGCAGAGGAGGAGGGGACTGGGGAAGACCGTCTCGGCGCGTGTCCCAGGAGAGAGGCTGCTTGAGCGAGCCCGCCCCTCCCCTACCCCCACAGTACCCGAACCCATCCCCTACCCCCACGGTACCCAAACCCGCGCCTCGAGCACGCAGGCAGGGATCGCTCGTCTAGGAACCTTCTAGGAACCTTCTAGGAACCTTCTAGGAACCTTCTAGGTCTTCGCCTCGAGCACGCAGGCAGGGCGGGGCGGCGAGGAGGTGTCTAGGAAGTGTCTGGGAAGTGTCTAGGAAGTGCCTCGAGCACGCAGGCAGGCCGGGGCGGCGAGGAAGGGCGCTCGCCCGCGCCTGCGAGAGGGAGGGTGTGGTCCAGGAATGGTGTCAGAGGCGTGTCAGAGGCGGGTCGGAGGCGGTCTCTGAGGCGGTCTCTGAGGCGGTCTTGAGGCGGTCTCTGAGGCGGTCTTGAGGCGGTCTCTGAGGCGGTCTCTGAGGCGGTCTTGAGGCGGTCTCTGAGGCGGTCTTGAGGCGGTCTTGAGGCGGTCTTGAGGCGGTCTTGAGGCGGTCTCTGAGGCGGTCTCTGAGGCGGTCTTGAGGCGGTCTCTGAGGCGGTCTTGAGGCGGTCTCTGAGGCGGTCTCTGAGGCGGTCTTGAGGCGGTCTCTGAGGCGGTCTTGAGGCGGTCTCTGAGGCGGTCTTGAGGCGGTCTCTGAGGCGGTCGCACCGCCGAAGAAGTCAGTGTCCCGTGCGTGGAACGGCGGGGGCTGGTCCGCACGCATGGCGATCGGGTCGGAGCCCTCGCGCAGCTCGGCGGCGGAGCGGCGGAGCGAGTAGTCTGCGAGAGGGTCTACGCGTACGCTCGCCTGATGCGGCGGCGGGGGAGGGGGGGAGGGGAGGGGGGGGGGGGGGGGGGAATGGCGGGGGCAAGGGGAGGCGGGCGGGGGGGGGGCACCGAAAGGACCCTGGCCACGCTTTAACCTCGACTCTCTCTCTCTCTCCCTCTCCCTCTCCCTCTCCCTCTCCCTCTCTTCTCACTCCACCGCGGCCGTACGTCGGCTAAATCTCGGCTACTCTCGCACCGACAGGACGGGCACCACGCGAGACGTGTCCCCCGGTGCGCGCGGGCCGGGAGGAGGCGCTAGGCCTGCGCGCGAGCCGGGAGGGGCTGAGGCACTGCCTGCTGACGGGCGGGGCGGGGGGGCGAGCGTGCGCGCTGCCCGCGGCGTCGAGCGACATCACCAGCCTCGCGGTGATCCGGTTGACAGACAGGCCGAGGTGTGCAGTCAGCTGGCGCAGCTCGTCCGGCCTACTCACGCGGGGCGGGCAATCAAAGCAGCCGACAAGGCCGAGGGCGCCTCGCGCGAGGCTTCGGCGCCGGCTCGCGTAGTACTCCTCGAACTCGCCCCAGCAGATGAGCCCGTCGCCTACCACCTCGAGCCGTGGCCGGCTCAGTGCCGGCGGTTGCCGCGACCCGGTGTCGGAGCAGAAAAAAAGAATTCGCCGTCCGCGTCGAGCCTGCGGATCGTCGCCTCCACGACCGCCTCCACACACTCGGCCGGGACGCCGCACGCGTGGTGCAGCAGCACGTGGAGCTCGTCCGGCGTGACGTGCCCAGAGCCTACCCGTCTCAGGAGCTCACCGTCAACGCCGGCGAGGTGTCAGCCCGCCCGGCGCGGTGTGAGCCGAGCCGTCGAGGTCGCACGCGTCGAAGAGGAAGCGGAGGCGGTCGCGCCGCGTCGCGTCCGCCGCCACCACCGGCGCCAGCCCCGCCGCGAAGCTTTCAAACCCGACGCCGCCTTCGCCCTCCTCCTCGCCGGCGCGGCGCGAGTCCGCCGCGAGCATCGCATAGATGCGGTGGATGAGGGCGGAGTTCTGCGGAGTCGCAAAGGCGCTGATGAACTCGGCGCGCGAGATAATCACCTCGCTCTGCGACTCACGCTCCCGCTCCTTCTCCGCCGCCGCCGCGGCCTCGCTGTCCGCCGGCAGCGCGGGCGGACCCGCAAACAGGAGAGCGCACCCGCAGCGGGCCGCGAGGAGGGAGAAGAGGGTGTGCAGGTCGGCGCGCTCGGCGGTCGTCAGTGAGCACGAGAGGGCGAGGCTGCGCCGCCCCTCCCTGCCCTGAGACGCCTCGGAGAGCGCTGACGAGAGCCTCACCGCGTCGAACCCCTTCTTGGAGCGCTCAGCCGCGATGGCGGCAGTGTCGGTGGAACGGCGTGTCGGCGCCTGCGATGCGCTCTCGTTGTCCGTCGAGTCGTCGCCACTGGTCTGCCGCGGTGGCAGCTTGAGGTCAGTGAACATTGCTGCGGCTGCTGCTTCCTTGCGGTGGATGCCAGGGGGGGAGCAGGGGCGAGGTGAGAGCGCGGGCCGTTTTATTCTTTTTTTAGGGTAGCCTTCATTCTTTTTTATTCTTTTTCCAATCGCCTTCATCACCTTCGTACCTTTATACATATCACCTCAGTAGGTACCTTCGCACGCTACATTCCAGACAGTGACGACAAGCTAGATCGACAACCCCGACATCACACACTCGGGCAGGCCTGCAAGAAGTCGAGCGAGAGAGAGAGAGAGAGAGACTCTTTCACGCTGACATCCACCGCGCACCGGCACACTCCTGCGTCCGGGCCCAGCCAGACCCTTTCTTGCTTTGCTTCCGCCCCCACAGCGCCTTGCACCGCTCTTCCGCCCGTTTGCAGCTTGTGTCCAGCTGTCCACTCAGCTTCCCTTTTCGATCCGCCACGCATGCCTTTCGACTGGCTTCTTGCGTCCCCAGTGCTCAGATCGCGAGCACGGGAGCGCAACGACTCCTTCTTGCTCCGACTCTTCACCACAGCGACCAGAGGCCTGCTGCCGCAGAGCCGTACGTTGCGCTGATCATCCCTCCAAGCAGCCCGCCTGGTAGAGCGCCGATCCCGCCCGCAAAGGAGCCGGTGACGGCGCCCCAGGTGCCGCCAATGACTGCCCCGCTGATATCCGCCTTGATTACCGACTTCGCGTCCTCGCTGATTCGTACCGCCGGCTTGAACCAGAAGGCTCGCGAGCTGATCGCAACGTCGACGATCATCTCGGCAAAGGCGCGCGTGAATTCGTCTCTTGTCCAGGCCTGCTTCAGGGCCCCCGCGCCTTGGAGGAATTTCGCGGACTCAATTGTAGTGCTGACGTCCACAAAGTTCACGAGGGTGTCCTTCATCCTCGCACTGATTGACAGCTGTTTGACGAGTTGTTCGAACGCGCCGTCCAACTTTGAGCTCAGGCTGTACCTGGCGCGAGGAGAGAAGGTGACGTTCGCGCCGGCAATGATGTCGTCGTAGGTCTTCCCCTCGATGTTTAGCTTCCGGACAACCTCTGCCCGAAACAGCATCATGCTGGACGCGACATCTCCCCTGTCGTCTCGGCGGTACATGGTGTATGCGAACTCCATCATCAGGTCATGGAGCTCGCCGGGGCATACGTCGAAGACGCACGGCAGCGGAGGAGGCGGAGGGGCCTGCATCCTCGACCCAAGCTCTAGCGCAAGCCTCGTCTTCAGAGCCGCCGCCTCAGCGCTGGCCTCTGCCGCCTGCGCCTGCGCCTCCGCCGCCTCCTGTTCCTTCCGCGCAATCTCCATCTCGATTGCGGCCGTGCCCGCGATGGTCGAGCGGATTCTCTCCAGCTCGTCTGAAAATTGCCTCAGCACCGATTGGACGTAGTCGAGGGGCGGATAGGGCGGGCGCGCGGGCGGGTAGGGCACGGACGCAGACATCTGCTCAGCGTCGCTTGGCGACCGGATGACTGGTGACGGCGGTGGCGGTGGTGACGGAGAGCGGTATAAATCTTGGGTTGCTGACGGAGGAGGAAGGGGCGGGGTGCGCCCAAGGCACGGGCGAGACGAGTAGAGCGGATAACTGTCGTACAGGCAGCCTTTGCCCGAACAGGTTGTCTGATTGCAGAGAGTGAACGGCACTCCTTCTTCATTCCTCCCAATCTCTGCACAAGCGGCGACCGCCTCAGCGTACGTGCGCTTGGTGATTGGCTCTGCAGGTGGCTTGCCGGATGTGCAGGAGCGGCCCCTGTTGTAAACGCGCACGCAAGCGCCACTTCCGGCTACGTTGGGCTTGCAGCATTGTGTGACAATCCGGCGCAGTACCCTGCCCAGAGACGGATCTGTGATCTCTGCCCTCACGGTGTCTTCGTCTTGTCCTTCGACCAGGCAGGAGAGCTGGCCACCAGTCTTCGCATTGATGACCTGAACGCCGGCGCTTGGGATTCGAACCCTAGGCTGAGCCAGCGCGTGGAGTAGGAGAGGCAGGCATGCCATCAGGGGCGCAAAGGCTGTGCTTGCAAGTTGCCTGAAGGCCAACGGGAGGACGGCCGATTTTAGTTGAGACGCGTCCCACCATTTGCGTCGTAATCGATTTGCCGCGTCTCCTCGATATGTTGCCGCGTCTTCGTGGAGCATTTCAGTGTACGTACGTTTCTCTCTCTCAGTGTAGTGTATGTACTTTTAGCTTACTGGGAGAGAAGGGAGAGAGAGGGGGTTGTTTGTGTTCTCTATCTATCTAGGCCCCGACACTCTAAGGGCCCTACGCTCTCTCAGTGTACGTGGCTCTTACGAACAAAGGTGCACTGCTCACAGGGTTTGCGATGAGGAGCGACGCCGAAGGAACGATTCTTCTCGGGTAAGTAAGCGCACCAACCACTTCTCTATAAAACTGCTGTGTGGGCTGCCGCAAGTAGCCGCGGGCTGAGGATGCCAAGCTCACGTGCGCCAACTACCTTTCACCTGCCGGCGCCCGCCGCCGCGGCCGTCGCCGCCGCCGTCGACACCGCCCGGTCGGCCCTACGGTGAGTAAGTATATCTCGTTCGTTGATCCAGATGGGGTTGGTTGGGGAGGGATGGAGACATGGAGAGTTGTCCACAGGCTGACCTGCACGGGCTTATTCACCCACGCATTTCTTTTTTAGCCGCGTCCGCTTCTTTTTGCAGCAAAAAAAGGAGGTCTTGGCTGGTCTTGGTGCTCTTGGTCTCGCCGGGGCTCTGCTCCGAGAGACCTCGAGAGGCGCAGCCTGCGCCTCTCACGACGCTACCCACGCCCAAGCAACAACACCGCGACGCTACCCACACCCGAACAACAACAGCTCCGCAATTCTCGACGCGATGCACACGCCGCACCGAGAGTCGCAAGCCTCTTACGGTCGCGGCGAATGCTAGCTGTCTTCGCTGGGCGTGCCATGGCACCGCCCAGCCACATCGTGCCGAAGCCGCAAAACGATTGCCTGCTCAATCGCGCTGTCATTCGTGACTCGCTTCGCGCCTGCGTTGCTGCCACGGAGGCGCGCCGGTGTCACGTCCATGGGCGAGCGATGAGCAAAGCACATCGCGCGTGCTGCGCTCGCAGCCACGCCAGCGCAACGTGAATGCTCTCGTCGCAATCCCAGGTGCGAAGGCAGCCACCGCAGCCCAACAAGGCTGGCGCCGAGGCCAGCAGCGCGTTGCCACCTCCGATCCGATCACGCCGCGGTGGCGACGCCGCCTTTGCACCGACGCGGCTGCCTTGCCGACGCCGCACCAACCTGCAGGGTGACGAGCCGCTCGCGGAGCCCAGAGCCGGTTGGTGCTGTCGTTGTCGGCCGGAGTGTCGCCGTGAGAAGCACGCCGCTGCCGGGCGGCGGCGAGCTTCGAGATCGGTAGGGGCGACATGCGGCCCGCTGCGGGCGGCGACAGCTCATGACGGACGTACCTTTACGCCGCCGCCCTCAGCCAGGCTCGCGAGCTGCCACCAGAGGCTGCGCCACACATTGAGAGCCGCCGCAGCTCCGCGTACTCGTCAGTTCGGCCCTCGCGGGCGGGCTAGACGCGTCCTTCTTCCGGCCGGGCGCTCGAGCTCGAGCAGATCCGGGCCCACGAGGCGGGAACGACCGTCCTCGTGGGCGAGGTCGAGTCTGCCGGCCGGCAGTGGGCGCGAGAGGCTGTGAGATGCGGAGAGCGGCTGCTGGCGGGTGGGGTGGTAGGTGGCCGGTCGTGTGGAAGCGGTCGTGGCGGGCGACACACCGGCAGAGAGGCGACCCGTGCATAGCGTGTGGGTCTGTCGCCGTGCGGCGTGTGTGCGTCTGTGGCGGATGTGTGCGTGGCCGGTGTGTGGACGGGCCGTGCATCGGCCTCGCTGCGTAGTCACGTAAAAAAGCGCCCAGTCGACTCTATTTCAGCGCAGTACTAGAAGCGACCCAACCCCACCATAGGAGTAATATCGTACAAAGGACACGGCCAAAGGCCCGACACTCTGCAGCACACAAGCACACCACCGGCTCAACAGTCTGCTTCACACCCTGTGCGCAGCGAGGAGGAGCACAACACAAGTGCGCCGAGGCCTCGGATCGCACGTCCCCAGCCCCGCCCCACTCCCCTCCCGCAGACGTGGTTCGGAGGCGCGGGCGGCGAGTCGTACACACAGCCATCGAAGGCCTCAGGTTCTCGCCGCTCCCCCGCCCCTCGCCAAGCGCAAGGGCTCGCTCTGGTCTGCTCTCTCTCTCGACTCTCTCTCGCCTCGACGCAGCAGCCGCGCCTCGAGATGCGCCGCCGCCGCGGCCGAGCGTTCGAGGCAGCTCGCGCCGCCGCCCCCGCCGAGCCGCCACACACCTCCGCTCACTCCGTCGCGCGGCCACGCCGCAGCCACGCCGCCCGCCCGCCGCCGCCACACGCCTCGCCGGCCAGAGACGTTGGCGCGCTCACTCCGCCTCGTTGAGCTTGCGGCGCTTGACCTGGCCGACGGCCAGGGTGTCCTTGGTCGCGAGCCCGCCCTCCGCCCGGCAGCGCTTGAGGTGCGTGGCGAGCTCCTTCTCGTTGTTGACTGTGAGCGAGCAAGGGTGAGGGGCGTGAGAGCGGTGGGTGGGTGGCGAGCGTGGTTTGCGAGACAGAGTGGGGGAGGGGGGAGGGGCGAGCAGCGCACTCTTGCCGCGGTCGGCGTACGATACCCAGCCGCAGACGCAGGCGGACCCGATGACGCAGTGGCGCTCCGCCTCTATCTTTGTCTTCTGCCCCGCGCCGCAGGTCGGGCAGTGGTAGGGCCAGATGCCCGTGTGCTTGGGCTCGTGCGCCTTGTAGGCCGCCGGCACGCGGAAGGTCTCGCCGCAGCCATCCCACAGGCAGCGCTTGTTGTCGTGCTCGACGCCGTGCGTCGCCGCGCACGCCCACGCCGCGTCGGCCGTGTCGTGCAGGGAGTCGCAGCTTGGGCAAACGAAGCCCTTGCGCGGCGGGTCGCCGATGGTGTGGAGCGCCTCGTGCGCCCGCACGTGGTGGAGGTTGATGCTGCCGGAGTTGCGGAGCTGGCACTTCACCCACGGCTTCGCGCAGCCGTCAAAGAGGCACTTTACCTGCAGCCAGGCGGCGAGAGGGGCGTGTGGGCCTGCGCTGGAGACGAGGCGACCGGCACGAGGCTCGGTGCTCTCCGCGGCGTGCGGGGCGGGGCGGGGCGGGGCCCTCTGCGCAGAGACGGCGAGTGAGGGCGGCGGCTACTCTACTACGCGCGGCATCTCGCCTCGTTGCCGTTGCGGACCTCGCGGCGCGGCTCGAGCCCGGGGTGGGCGCGCTCGATGTGCTCGAAGATCCCCTCCGCCGTGTCACGGAACTGAAGGCGGGGAGGGAGGGGGGCGGTGGTGGGGAGGGAGAGGGGCGCGCGCAGAGGCGGCGGGGTGAGGAGGCGGCGAGGGGGTGCAGCGGAGTGAGGGTTGGCGGCGGCGAGGGCGGAGGCGTGGGTTAGGGTGGAGAGGGGGGGAGGAGGCCAGAGGGCGGAGGGCAAGACTCGCCTCGTCGCAGTCGGGGTTGATGCACACGAAGCCGCGGCCGCCGGGGGTGATGCTCGCAGAGGCGCCGCGGGTCGAGACCCGCTTCTTCTTGCGCTCGCCGCCCGCCTGCGGACGTGGTGGAGCGGAACGCGCGGCGGTCGACGCACGAGGGGGCGGGTGAGACGGGGAAGCGGCGCGGAGCATCGCCGGGCGAGTCACAGGCAGCCGTCGCGAGAGCAACCCCCGCGCCAACCCGCCTCCGCCGGCGAGTGTGTGGTGCGGGGGGCGCGCAGGGCACCTTGGCCTTGCCGCCGGTCGGCGCCTTCTTGGCCGCCTTCGCCTTGCGGGAGGGCTTGGCGGGCGCCTGCGCGACAGGGGGAAGGGGCAGTTGGTGCGCGCCACGAGAGCGACGCGCGCGGGCTCCCTGACCGTCAAGGCCTGCCCGTCCCCCCCACCCCCCCCGCCCCTTCTCCCCTCTAGCCGCGGCGCACCCGCGGCGCTCCCAGCGTCTCAACGTCAAAGTCGGAGCCGTCGCCGTCGCTTTCGCTCCCGTCGGAGACTTCTGCCACGCTCCCCTCCTCGTCCTCGTCCTCGTCCTCCTCCACCTCCTCGCCGTCCTCGCCAAGCATCGCCGGCGGCTGCGCAGAGGGGGAGGGGGGGGGAAGAGCAGCGCGTCAGTCAGAGGC